TAATTTTTGATAAAAAAGATTATTTTAAAAGAAAGGAGAAAGATAATATTTTGGATTCGAATTTCTCAAGCTTAAAAGTCAGATATCAATCTATCTTTATTTGAACATTATTATAGAAGGAATTTTTATCTCACTATATGTTATTTTAATGATTGATAATTTTAAAATATTATCATATGTTTTAAATAGATTATATCTATGAAAATTATCATTATCATTTTTTCTTTTATTATACTTAAAATTGAATCAATTATTTAATCTTTCAAAACAATTTCTCATTTTATATAAATTTGTGATGATTGCAGAGACATGGTTTATAATTAATCAATTTCCTGAAATGATCCACACATACTAAACTGTATTGGGATGTTTATTTAGATTCTTTTCCATGTCGATATTGATTTTTAATGAAACGAATGAAATGAAATGAATAAGAACATTTTCACATTCAAATCTGCATCTGAATTATTATCTTTCTTATCAATCAGTATTCTGCATCGATACATGATGATATCGACTTCATTGCAATCTACATCATGAAAATCAATGCATATGTTGCAACATGTTTATTATGTATAGGTCATATAAGATGTGAACATATCCATGAATAATGTGCATGTTCTGTTTGCATACGTGCTGAATATCCATATCTTACAGCAGCATGTTACCTGTCTGTAGACATCTGCAAATTTTAATATACGATATATATCAATAGACAATGTTTCTAATATTAAGTCTGTACACGTTTGAACAAACATAGCAATATATAGTTGTTGCAGATTATAATTATTGAGATTAAAGTTATAAATTTTCAATTATATAATATTTCATCTCATTATCACTTTTATAAAAATTATAAAAATATTTCATTTTTTATAAAAATATTTTTTTAGATAAAAGATCAAAGAAAGATTTATAAATTAAATTAAAATAAAAAATTAAATTTTAATGCTACAATTTTTGGAATTTTAGGCTATAAAGTTATTTCAATTAAATTTCATTTAAGCATTATTAACAATTTTATAATTTTCTATGATTTATATTTAATATAAATAATATAAATAATATGAATAAATATTAAATAAATTATAATAAAATATATATTATAATATAAAACCATTGACCAATACGAACTTGGATCATAAAGGAAATTTTAAATTTTAACACAGAATACATCAACACAGAATAACCTATTTTTTTATTAAGTGATATACTTAAAAAATTATAATACATTAAAAATAAAAAATTTTAATTATTAAATATTATAAAATATCACAAACCATCTATTTTGATTCTTTTGATAATTATATGTGATATTTACATATCAGTATATGTAAGATAGAAATTATAAAAATGTTATTTAAAAAAAAATAAAAATAAAAAAAATTATGTTAAATAAAAAACATATAATAATTGGATTATATTTACAATCTTTATAAAAAATAATATCACGATATAACATAATTTTATCAATTGTTAAAAGAAATAAAAAAGAAAAAAAAGAAACACATATAAACGTAATAAAAAATTATACAGAACATTTTTGAAAAATTTTAATTTTTTTGAATAATTATTGTAAATGACTTTTATTTATATTCATTTTTATGTATTGAATCATATATAATATATGTATTATTGTATCATATATAATATATAAAACATTTATTTATATATTTTTGAAATTTTCAAAAAATTAATTAATCTTTGAAATATAAAGCGGAATACTTGACTAAATCATTTATCTAATTTTTTAAATTAATATCAACTATTAAATCAATTAGATCAAAAGTGATCCAGAAATTATTCGATTTTTTTTTTCGAGAATAGAATATTTTTAGTAATATGTTATAAAAGAAATGTACTATATAATATAAGTAAATGTACTATAAAATAAATGTAAAAATAAAATAAGTAATAAAAAAATAAAATAAGTAATAAAAAATAAAATAAAAGAAATAAAAATTATATACAAATTCCTGAAAATAAAAACCACAAAAATTTATGAAAAAATTTTTTAATATGTATATGACATGTAAAAAAAAATATGAAATATCTAAATTAAATTTTATATTATGATATGTATTTAAAAATTGAAACAGATTTTTATTTTAAATTCATTTTTTAAATTATGTTTATTAAAATTTAAATTTGCATAAATATTTCCAATCTAATTACTATAAATAAAAAAAGGAATTTTTAATTAATATTCCAAGATTCTAAACAAATATTTTATCTTCATAAATTCCTTTGATATTTAAATTGTGTAATTATCCTTTTTTTATAATAACACATGAAATTTATAATATAATATATAAATTAAATGTGAAATCTACGATTCATACTGATACTATAAAAAATCAAGTTAATGAATACGAATCAAATTATATATATAAATCCAGATTTTATATTAATATGCAAGAAACTAATAAAATTAAATATATTTCATCAATTAAAAATTCCATGAATTTCAAATTCTCTCTATTGTCTTTTGAAGCATCACTCGATATTTTAAACTATTCCCTATCAAATTATTCTCACGATGATCAATAACATTTGAGTTTCGATAAGATAGCTCGAAAAAATGAAAAAAATTTCAAGAATATAATTCTCAGGTCATTTATCATAAATAGATATCTCATACTGGACAGACATAGATATCGATTAGTAAATCACCGTATCGCTAATATCGGCGCAAGGAATCAGCCAAGGATTTGTTAACCCTTTCAGCACTATGAATAGATAGACATAATTCCATATACAAGATAATTCATGCAATTATAAAAAGCCGTATTCATTTTCAATTGAAGTTAGAGAAAAATGTGAAATGTGAAAAGAAAATAGTTTAATATAAAAGAATAATGAGACAGACAAAAAGAAAAATTTCCATTAAAAATAATATAATAGCAAAAAAATAATATAATAGCAACAAAATATATGTTTCAAAAAATATAATAGTAAATATATAATCTATTTTTAAATTAATTTTTTTTCTAAATTTAACCAAAAAGATAAAAATATACTTTGTTATAATTAAGTAAATTATCTTGTATATAAATAATATATAATATTTTTTAAATGCAATGATAAGTAATTCAATAAAAATAAAATGAATACTTTCAATGTTTCTGAGAACCAATATTATGTATAAAGATTTTTGCATTGAAGAAAAGATATTTTTTTATTGAAATCTGAAAAATTTATCTATTTTTTTTATCTTTAATATCTTATCTTTTTTCTAAACAAAATTTCAGCTGCTAATCTTAATATTTTTGTTGAAAATAGATAAATGTTAAATCCAATTTGAACTCAATGAAAACTAAATATTTATAAACCAAAGCCAAGTTATATTAATATCAATTCATACATTTTTACTTTTTTTTTTAAGAACAAGTAAAAACTTAACTTTGGAATTATCAAAGATATAAGATATAAAATTAAAAAATATATCATTTCATTATTTTTTTCTATAATTTTATTTAAATTGTTATTTTTAGAAATAGATTAGACTTACAAATACTTGCTATAAATGCTGCTTGATTTCAACTTTGTATTTTTTTAAATGTGAACATAAACATAATGGATATTATAAGATTTAATATCACGAAAATTATTTATGGATTTAAAATAGTTCCAGATAATACTAATATTTTATTTAACTTAATAATATCACTTTTATACTATTATACTATAAATTAAATAGTCCAATTTAAAAAATATTATAATTTTTATTATAAAAAATAAAAAATAAATAAAAACTTTTATGAAAAATATATAACTATATTATTACTATTACACTGTTACTAGCACACATCATTATATTGAAATCAACTAGTCTATATACTATGTAACGGTTACTAGTCTTAAAATTGCAAATTAAATTAAGAAAGAAACCTATAATCAATCACGATTCTCTCTCTCTTTTTTTTAATTAAATAAAAATTCTGGAATACAGCTTTGGCTTCATTGATAAACGAATGAATCATTATTATAATGAAATCAAACAGTATATCCTATAATATATATATAAATATTAATTTCAAAATTGCGAATTAAAAAAATCTGTAATTAATAGAAGTGTAAATTTTGCTCGATTCTTCAGAATCCGAAAACTTCGGGACAAATCAAAACTTCGGGAAAAATTCGAATAAAATCGGCTCTTATTACTCTCGAATTAGTGTCCTGAAAATTTCAAGATTTGAAACTAAATTCGAAATGTGATTCGATCTAAGCATAAACGAGTAATAATAAAATGCAAATTTAGCAAGTTTAAATTTAACTATTAAGACAAAAATAAAATAGAAAATAAAATAGAAAAGGGACAATTTTATTAATATTTAAATATTTTAATATAAATATTTCGTCTTTAATCCTTTGTAAATCAAATCATGTAAGATTAAAAATAATTAAACACATTATACTGTTATTTATATTTGCAACTGGCAATTAATAGAACGAGGCCATATACAATTTTCAAATTCCTAAAGCTAAGAGATGCATGCTCACTATTTAAATAGATGTAAATATTCAAAATATGTAACATATAAAATGATGAACTATAGCTATGAACGTGTTAACTTCGAGCAATAACGAAAGTATTAAGATTTTCGTTCAATTCCGTCCGAATTTTCTCTATTTAAGTCGTAATTCGGATATTCGTATATCTGTAATTATCAATTACAATACTTCTCTTCTCCAATTAAATTAAAATTCTGGTGTACACAGTTCTATTCAGATTTATTCAAAAGAAATCAATTTTTTTAAATCGTATTTGTCACATGACTCAACCCGATATATCGAACATTCATCATACATACATTATATTCAGCGCTGAAAGGGTAAACAATAGGCAAACGCACAAACAGCTCTAAAATGGGAAGATGGCAGCATAGGGTAGGCACGCAACAACATAGTAATAGCAGCAACAGAAACGAGGATTTTCTCAACGAAACGCTATTTTCGTTCATCGATATCCACGGAGAATCCGCGGTTCGACAACTTACAATCGCGTGTTGAATCGCGTCCACGTGGTTGTCAACGACACTCACGGCCATCGCGCTCTTCGACGCGTCTTTTCGTTCGCTTTGGCGCGTGCTTTTCTTATATTTGCTGGCGATTTTGTCCGTGGTACTCGGCCTCATTTTCACCTGGCCACCTGCCGCCAACTGGCTATACGTTTCTTCCATAGCGGCATATTTTAAAATCAAACTTTGTATCTCCTTTCGTTTTGCTGCTCTCTCAGAAATGGCTGGATCACTTTCTTCAATCTCAACTGTTGCAACAGTAATATTATCGTTCGTCACAGTTTCTTTAATCATGCTGCTAGTCGGTGTCTTGTCAGGATCTTCCTCATTTTTCTCTTTGGGTGTCAAAGATTCCACTTTCATAGGTCTGGTTAGTCGAAGAGCAGTCGACGAGGATTCCAATTGTTCACTCTTTCCATTTCGATAGGGTCTCACTTTTCTGGTACGTGTCTCTGCGTGACCAGACTTGTGTCTTCCATACCTTTTATATGTATCCGAGTTTAACAAAGAGTGTTTATCCGTGCGGTGATATCCGGGCGTCTTATCGCGCTTGAAGTCTTTCACATTGGAGGTTTTTACATAAGGATATGCTTTTTCAGAAAGGATCACACTAGTAGGACTTTTAATCACGGTGCGGGTCATCGAAGGTTCCAAAGTTTTCTCATCTCGAACGAATGGACTGTCTTCGCGGCGAAAATACGTGTCTCTTTCGCGAGTACGTGGCCCATAATCGACCGAGGGACGGTCTGTATGCTTCTTTCTGGAATATTTGTCCAGAATGGTGCAGTACTTGTCCTCTATGCGAGCCCTGGCGCTGTTTAATTGGTTGATTATAGGAGAATGTCTGGTAATAATTGTAGGTTTGTTCACCATGTTGTCGTTCACGGTCGACGTCCCGCGAACTCTGGTGGTCAGTCTTTGCAACAGACTCGAGCACGAATCACTGAGTAGTTGAGTGACGCTCGTAGTCGTCGAGGAACGTGCGTACCGATTTCGCCGGCCCGCCGAATCCTGACGAGACGTCGACATATTGTCGCGTGGCGCGAAGATGAACATCGAGACGCAGTTTCAACGCTCACAGCTGTTCCTCTGACGATTCAACGACTTGAGAGATCAAAGTCGTGGCGAGGAAAATTACTCTGAGCCAAATGGAAACTGTAAATGTCTAGTTTGATGATTTTTTCCGATTTTGACAATATTTAGTTTTTTCTTTAGAAGTTTTATTTCGCCAAAACAAGATTTCAATTAGGAAAGATTATATAAATATTATGTTTTCATTAATTTTATTTGATCAAATGTTGATTTAAGACAGATTGGTTTTGGAAGTGTAATATATGCTAGGATATAAATAATGTTAGAAAAATTTGTAAACACAAACTAATTGAAATTTGAATATATTTTATTACTGGTATTTTCATATTACAAAAATATTTTTTGTAGCCGAGTAAAAATTTTATCTCTTTAGCCTTAATAGATATATGGTTAATTTTATTATATGAAATGGATTATTTTTGAATTGCCAACAAATTTGTCAAGAGTATTTTTGTGAACACGATTTGACTAATAACTTATTTTATTGACATTATTCACAGATACGTTTAAATTGAATAAAATATATTAGACTAATTATGCAATACATTTTGTCAAATTTTTATATTTATATTTTGACTGGTAAGTATTTAAATAATTAAACTCTAGGAAAAGCTAACTTATTTAATTAATTATGAAGAAATATGTTGATGAATCGAAAATAATGCATAAATTTAGTTTATTAAAATCATGCAAAAATAAAAACCAAAAGTATTTTTTTTCTTTTTTTGTAAAAATAAATAAAATTATATTTTTTCATAAATTTTATCTTAAATTGAAGTCTTGTTTTGAACTTATTAACGAATTGAGAAAAAACTAGAACGATATTGTCAAAATTGAAAAAGTCTAAAAAACTAGACTATTACCAAAATTCTTCTTTCGAATCCGGTATTCCAAGCTCGATGTTTCAGCAGCTGGTTCCTTGAGTAATCCTGTTTGTTTTCGAATTCAGCAATGGTGCGCGTTTCACAGCTTCTTGGACTTAGCATACACACACGATTTCAAGGTCATTCCTCTAGACCTTGCTTGATGTCCTTAACGCGACACATGCGAGAGGATCGCACTAACGATGGCGAAAACAACATCGACTCACGAGCATCCAAGTACAAGGCATACGCGCGATAACGGCAAAACAGAGAAAGAAGAAAGATGAAATAAAAGCGCAAGGCGGAAGATAATAAAGAGTGATCCAGAGACGATTGGCGGGGAGTGAGAACACGCTTCTGATCGCAGATTCATCACTCGACCAGAGGTACGAGTATC